GTGAAGCAGCTCCCGCCTCCGGCCTGGGGGCTCCGCTACAAAAAGATAGATGTAGTGAGGGTGGGCAGCCAGGGTCTGGGCAGGAGGGGGTGCTGCTGGAGAGGCCTCACCTGCCAGCAGCAGCAGCAGCTGCCCCAGGCTGTGTTGGTACAAGTCCAGGGCATCCTGCTCCCCACCAGCTTCTTCCTCCTGAAACCACATGGACAACAGGTGGTTCAGAGTCAGGATTCCTCTTTGCCCCACCCGGAGCCCTCCCACTTGGCACCCACCTTGGTCAGGGCAGCTGAAGCCACTTCCAGGGCAGCTAAGAGAGGTGGCTTGTCCCGGGCCATCTCTGGGACAAGGGTACAAAGGCTCAGAGTAAAGGGAGCAGCCTGTCTTCCCATCTTGGGAGCCTCCCCGTCAAGCTGCAGGGAGTTTTGCTGGTGGGTCTGCCAGGGGCCAAGGCCTACCTCTGAGCAGGTCTCGGGTGGAGGCACCCTGCCTCAGCAGGGCCTGGTTGGAGGAGGAGACTATGGCCTTGAGCTCCTCAGCCCGGGACACGTACTGCCCCACCTGCAAGAGGGCAAAGGGCTTATGGGTAGGACCTCTCCCTACAGGTCCCACTCAAAGTCCCCAATCCAACAATTCCTCCCTCTGGCTCCTCAGGCCCCTAAGCTGCAGCCACATGTCGGGCGGGGGTCACCTGAGGCTGACCTGCACTTCTTCCAGCTCTGAGTTAAAGGAGAGGAAGTACAAAGTACTGACACAACCATTCCTCAGAAGCCCCAAGATCCCTGGACTCTACATACACTCAGCCCATTTCCTCATGGGGTCTCGCTCACTCACCCACCTTTGCCTTAATTGCCTCCTTCCGCTGGGCATCCACTTCATCTGTAGAAGGTGGGGTTTATATGAGGAGTTTGGGAAGGACTTTGGCCCAACTCCAAATTTTCCAGGACCCCCAAAGGTATTAAGTTCCTTAGGATGGAAGGTGCTGGAGTCCATCCCTGGTCACTAAAACACAGTGCCCCACCCCTGCTTCCCCCAGGACTCCAGGCCTGGCCTGACACTCACAGTGCAGGGCAGGCACGAAGAACTCCAGAGCCTGGCAGTAGAGAGCTAAGGCAGCTGCCGCGTCCCCATCCTGGTCTTTCGTCACAGCCTGCACCACCAGGGCGGTCTGGGGGACAAGTGGATCAGGAGCCATGCCCCCTCTTGTCCCCTGTGCTATATTCAATGAGAGGAGAAAGATCAGGTCCCGAGTCCACCCTTGGCCTACTCACCGCTCGTGCCAAGCTCTCTCCACTGGGCATGTGCTCCAGGTCCACCCAGGGATGGGCAAAGAAATCCTGGAAGGAGATGCGGTGGTCGGGGTCCCGCTCCAGGAGCCGCTGCAGTAAGTCCCGGCAGTCACGGGAGAGTGGGGGCCGCAGGGGGAGCTGCAGGGCCAAGGCACAGATCACACTGGGTTCCGGCACCTCAGCCCCCAGACCAGGGGCCTGCAGAATGCCCCGGAGGTCCATGTTTGACAAGTGGAGACTCTGAGACCTAGGATGGCAGTCATGGGGCAAAGTGGTGGAGCCAGAAAAAAGCCAGGACTCCTTCCCCAGGCTCTGCCTCAGGTGAATGATGTGGGTGCTCTGTGGCTGTGGCCTGGGAAGGCTCCCTGGCTCCACCTCAGGTGAATGATGTGGGTGCTCTCTGGCTCCGCCTCAGGTGAATGGTCTCGGTGCTCTCTGGCTGCAGCTCAGGAAGGCTCGCCTGGGTCTACTTTGCTTTCTCACTACAACAGCCCGCACAGTTCTCTGTGGATAGGCCTTTGCTGCCCACTGTAGGCTGATCTGGGTGCCTGGGAGCCCATACTCCTTTCTGTGAGAATGTGGTCTCCAACCTCAGAACCCAGACTTCCTTTATCCCCCCAAAGTTGCCAGACCCACCTCAATAACCTGCTTGCTACGGATCTTCTCTTCCAACTCTGAGAATGATCTGGAGGCAAAGGGGGGCTGCCCAAAGAGGGCTTCTGTGGAAAAGGAGGCAGAGGGTAGGCGGAGAGGGGAAAGGTCAAGCTGGGCCTTGTCCACTCCTGGGGAGGGTGCCGTTCCAGACACCCCTCAGAGTTCAGAATCTGGGGAGCTTTAGATCCAAATGGGAATCTGGGGAGCTTTAGATGCAAATGAAAAATCATGCAGAGCACTAGCTGGGGAGCAGGACCCACACAGTGGAACCCAAGGACCAGGAGTTGTGGGTTAGACACTGAGCTAACTGCAAGGCCAGTGGTTCAAACCCACCAGCTGCTCCTTGGAAGGAGGCTGTCTGTTTCTGTGAAGAGTTAGTCTGGGAAACGCTGTATGGGGTTGCTGTAAGTCAGAATTGACTCAGTGGCAGTGAAGGTTGGTTTTTGCCCAGAGACATATAGTGCACTCTATGGAGAGCATGGGACAGAGAGTTCTTACCATATAGAATGACCCCCACTGACCAGAGGTCCACACGGGCATCGTACTGCCGCTGACACACCATCTCTGGGGCCATGTAGAG